AGGAGGACTTCCGAGCTCCTCCCGAGACCCGAACTCCCCCCGGTGGGCCCCAAACTCTTCCTTCCTGAAAAGGGAACACCCCGGTCTACGGGAAGTACCCCGAAGTAAGGACACTTCGGGATAGTCCCATTAACGCTCCTGCCCATATTTGCCTAAGGCTCGACTCGAGCACTCGCACCTCGTCTACCCCAGCACTCCGGAGTAGGGTAGCTCGGACCAAGGCAGCTCGGTGCAAAGTAGCTCGGCAACCTATACAAAAGATCTGCCTGACAATAGTACCTGCCGAATCCGGAGGTCCTGCCCACGTCTCTTGTCAGGCGGCGTCATGCCTGCCACCTCTGCCAGATGTGGCGCACCTGACAGGTCCGTACCCTACAACGGCTGCCCACATCCGCCACCTCGGCTCTGGCAGTAACGGCTACAATAGAGGCGGTTATGCCAGATTTGACAGAGCTTCGGTATAAGAGAACCCCAACCCTCGCGAAGCAAAGGTATTGAAGCTAGCGTAACCAGCACTCTTAGTTTTCTCTCTGCATTTTCCTTGAGTCTTCTCAGAATTCTAACTTAAGCATCAGAGTGTTCCCGCCGGGAGAGCTACCCGAGAATTCCTCATGTTCCTCTTCGTCTCAGGTGCCGTCAGTCACAGCTAGGAGCCAGGTTCCAGCCAGCTAGGAGTACCCGGATCGCGCAGCATCAGAGACCATAATCTACTATCAGGTTCCTAAAGGTCCAAACAAACCCCTTCTAGAATCTATAGCAAATTTAGGACACTAGGATATTTAGAATCCTTGGTTCCTTTTGAAGGTGGAAATTGAATACAAGGGAATTGGTCCTTGAGAGGGACATTCCCGACCAATAAATATTTTCCCAAAAGAGAACTTTATTGCCATAGCCCACATCACACTTGATAGAATTCAAGAACAAGGGGAGAAAATTGTGGATAACCTTCCAAGGAGAAGCTAAAGTAGACCTTGAAGATGAGCTAGCATCTCATCCATCAGCCATTAGCCCATGAATATTGACCACCACTTTGTGCCACAATTTCTCTCTTTCCATAGTCAACTTCAAGAACCACTTCCTCAACAAGGCTTTATTCTTCTCACTCAATCTTTCTATAACCAACCCACCTAATTCTTTTCTTTTACCCACCATTTTCCATTTGACCAAATAAAAAGTCTCTCAAAATTTGTTGCTATTTCTCATGGCACCTAACACCAAGTATCAAAATTTTTGTTAGTTCAGATTGGATTTTGGGAAAGCATCAACATTTTGCAACAAGTGTCATGTCAAATGCAATGTGTCCAGCATTTGACACAATTAAACCTAGTAAAGATGAGAAGGAACTTACTTTCACTAGGTAACTCTGTATTCCACAAAACAAAACACACACATACACCTGGAAAAGTTCACAGTTTTTGTGCTGCAGAAATTATTTACCATTTTGCCATTCTCAAGCAAATCTTTTGGGTATAATAAAAATCCTAGCAGACGGCTTACTTATTGTCTGCAAAAGATAAATGTTTTAAAGAGAAACAAAGTTATCCAGTTAAAAAATGACCAAAATTTCTCTCTCTCTATCAGCAACACAAAAGTCAGAATTTCATTAAAAATTAAAAAGAACAGAGTACAACAAGAAGTTGTGAGAAACTAGCAAACCCGTTGCAGGATTAGCCCCCAACTATATTACAATTGTACCTAGTATATATGTTGTCTTTGAACCCCTTGCTTAGTTAAACTATCTGCCAAACTGTTAACAGATCTTCTAACTGATCTTATTTAAACATTCATATCTTTTGAAAGCCATTTGAACTTTTGAAGCGCCTTAGCCCATTTATAAACTGCCAAATCACCCCCTCACCTTCGTGGTCTTGACCCTAGGGCTTCTTGGTCTTCTCCTTGGAAAGCTATCCACAATATTTTGCCTTCTCTCCTTCCGTACTAAAGATCAGTCCTGTGTAGGTAATAAAGTTCGGTTTTGTGAAGATATTTGGTTTGGGAATACCTCTCTAAACTCTAAAGGATAGATTACCATCTCTTTACTCCCTTTCCATCAACAAAGGCAAAGTGATTTTTTTCTATCTTTAAGGTTGATAATTCCTGGAATTTAGGGTTGAGAAGAGGGTCAAAGGAATCTGAAATGGGGATGGTAGATGAACTTATTTTTCTTCTAAGTTCGGTGTTTCTAGATCAATCTTGCTTAGACAATAGAATATTGCCTTCCCCTTGTGGTTTCTTCACTTCTTCTTCCTTTTACAATACTCTTCTTCAGTCTTCTAACTTGGCAGGAAATTTCCCAACAAAGTAAGTCTGGTGTAGTCCTGTGCCTCCAAAAGTAAGAGCTTTTTGTTGGGAGGTGGTGCTCCAAAAAATCAACACCTTGGATGTGCTTCAAAGAAGGCGGCCAAACTGTTGCCTTTCACCCCATGTTTGCAGCCTTTTCTTGGGTCGTGGTGAGACAACTACACACCTATTAACCTCTTGTTCCTTGTGTCTTTTATTTGAAATTGGTTCTCTTCTCTCTTTGGCTGCAGGATGTGGTGGGCCTCTTTGATCCAAGTTTCTTTATGCAACCGAAGAAGAGGGTAGAGAAACGTTGAAAGCCACTAGAGCAGCTGTCCTTTGGTCAATTTGAGAAGAGAGGAACAACGAGATCTTTAAAGATTTTGGAAAATCAAAGGAAGAAGTCATTGATGGATTGGCTGAAATCATTAGAGCTTTTTAGCGACTTTCTCAGTCGATGACATACTAAAGGGCTGGAGTGTAGTGGCAACTTCTGTTTCCTTGAAGATTGGAACCCACGATTTTTGGTCTCCTACACTTCGAAGGGTGAAGCTGAATTTTCATGGGAGCGCTTTAGGCAATTCAGGCCCTTCTGGAATAGGTGGAGCTCTCAGAGATGAAGAGGGCAGATTGGTTGCTTTGTTTTCAAGACCAACAGGAGTGGGTGATTCACCGAGAGCGGAGGTGATGGCTTTACTTGAAGGTTTAGGGTTGGTTAAGCAAGTGAGTCTTCATGACTTCATCAAATTGAGGTAGAAGGGGATTCTAATCTAGTAGTTGGTTGGATGCAGTCACAAAGGTTAGGGGTCTGGATTTATAGACAACTAGTGAGGGAAAGAAATTGGTTAGCAAGGGAGATAGGGGTTTCTTTCAATTGGGTTCGAAGGTCAACTAATGGACTAGCTGATATGTTGGCAAAGCAAGGGATTTTCAGGGAGAACTTGTTTTGGGCAGTGCTGTAACTTAAGACTGTTTTTTGGGGTCAGCACCCTTGTGTTTGCAAGGTTGACAGTTGTATTATCCTTTTTAAATTAATTTCAATGAAAGCCACCGTTTCCTATCCAAAAACAAAAAAGAAAGAAACACCTATTACCATTTTTCAGCTATCCCACTACCATCTTTCAAATCACCTTCAATGAGGACACCACCAATTCTCAACCCCAAAAACTTCTGCTAGGAATTCTGCTCTTACCGAATCACCTTGCTCAATTGGGCCTGAAAACAAGGCATAAATAGCCCCACCTTCATTCCTAATCACCCCTCCAAATCCCGAGGGACCTGGATTGCCCACACTGCTTCCATCAAAATCACCCATCGGGGGTGACTAAACCTCTAGAATTTTTTGTTTCCTAGAGGAAGAGTCAGCTAAATACCCAAAAAATCTCTTCCTTGATGAATAACTAAGAAAAAAAATACTTAAGAACAAAGCAAGAATTCAATTGTGCAGTTAGTCATCAACAAAACTTGTATGTTAATAACTAATAACTAGGGCCAATAAGCTGGCTATTGTTTTTCTTATGAGAAAGTCAAACTTCCAAGAAAAAGTCAGAAGTATAGATATGTGATTTAACCTTCCTGAAAACATGGTTCAAAGTATTAATACACCTCTGTGTAATGGCAGAGGTGTATCAGTGCTTTATAAAATGTGCTTTTTATTTTTTTCAATTTCATTTTAATAAATATTTTTATATTATTTAATAAATAAAATGAATGGTTTCCTCAAAACACCTTTAAATAGGTGTATCATTCAGCCACCGGTACAATACAATACGCCTGATACGGGGTGTATCATATCGAAATTTTGAACCTTGCCTGAAAATCCATGTCAAGTCATATTAAATGGTACACCTATTGGTATGCTCAAATGGCATAGTCCCTCCACAAATGAAAAATGTGTATATGTGTGTGTATTTCTTGTTACTTTCTTTGATGTTGTGTTTTCAGTCACCTCTTCCTTAATCAGTTATTCTCTCAAAAAGATTCGATGTGTTAAATTTCAGAGTTGTAGATGAAGCTGAAATGGCAATCCAACACTTCAAATAAATCCCATAGTCAAATTTGGGGTGAGACCTTGGAAATTCTAATGGGGAGCATATAATAGTAATTACACTTTTGTGTTTACTTTATTAAATCCACTGCAATATACATAAAATGTTGAATGAGGAATAAAGGTTCTTTAAGGTTAAAATGATAAATGGAATTTAAATTGATGATATACAAGAACTTGCATATCAAAATTTTGACTTTTCAATCAAATGTTAGACATCCAGGTAGAAGGGAGAAATGGCATTTGAAAAAGTGTGGTCTCAATGTTAATCCAACTTACATTCTTAAAGCACAAAGAAGAATATTAAATAAAAGCCGTAGCTTAGTGAGAATCAGAAAAACAGGTCCTACCAATTGGTTGTGTATAATAACTGATTGTAAACCAACAAAGGATTTTGTTGCTGGGACTTATTTTCTTTTGTATGTTGAATTGGTGTTCCTATTGCAATATATGCCAGGTCAATGAGTGAAACCAACTGTTGTAGTTGTACACAACAATTCTTTTAAAAACTAAATGTTAAAGTCAAAATTATATATGACCAAGATTTTATTAATAAAATAAAGCAAGGTTTTATCAATCAGATCTTCTAGCAAATATATGAATAAGACCAGATGTGCAACTTCATGAACATAAAACTGCATGCATTATGTAGTTTTAAGTAGGAAATTCATAATTAGCAACACTTGACAGAAGTTCGTACAAGCACAAAATTCTTCATTCAGAAAATATTAAGAATCCAACCCAATAGCCTAATAGTAAAGACCAAAAAGCAAGAACAAATCTGTCATGAAATATACGAGAACCCACAACGATACAACAAAAGACTTGATGAAGTAAAAATGACCCAAACAAAGACAATCCACCAAGCAATAAACAAGGCCACTTCTTTTACAAAAGCAGAACAAGGTACAAAACTGCATACAAATGGAATACTTCCAAATAAGTCACCTTCAATCCTAGATAATCCAAGAAAGATAAGTACCAGTACTGGCGGTGCAAAAAACTGCAAAACGACCAAACAAAGATAATAATTATGCAAGAAGATTTTTGCCCTACTGAAATCCAAGTCCGGAACCCTACTGGCGTGCAACCTTTGGTACCAAGATAATACTGCTTCATTCATATGCATTTGCAAGTTTGGGCGCAGCATCACAATCTGCAACAAACCCGATACCAGCAAACACCAAAGCCTAAGCTTAGTGAAATCCGACTGCGCCATTCCCACATTACCAGCCAATTTTTCAGCATTTCCAGTTGCCGGACTCGAACAGCCAACTTTGGTATCGAAATTCCTCTTGTTAACTAGAATTTCTGCCAGCGGATTAATCCAAAGCACTGACGTGAATATAATCAAGAGCAAATTAACGTGAAGAAGCATTCGAGTAACCCAACCACAAGAAATTATTGACAAATTGCAACGAAGCTGATCTGTTCCAAGCCAAAACGATCGGGCACTCTTCGTAGCGGGCATGAAGAGAAACCCCGTAAGGCAACCCAGAAGAACAGCAATAGAAACTTGGCTGAACCCATCCACCGAATCGAGTTTAAAATCAAACGCCGAAGGTGCAATCATTGAAACAATCGCAAGCACTAACAGAAACCCCAAAAACCCCACCAGAATGCTTATCTGCTTCTCCGATCTCTTCGATGCAGATCTCTCAAATGACACCTTAGCGAGCAACACCAACACCTTGCAAACTGCAACAAACCCTAACAAAACTGGAACTACAGCTCCACTAACGAGCATTCCAGAACCCTCGGGTACGTGTAAGAAACAGTGGAGCAGAAGACTAGAAAGAGCCACAACAGAATAAAGAAAAGCGTCTCGATACTCTGGAAAGTAGAGACGCGATTGAAGATGGCTATCGACAAGAGGCAATCTGAATATCTGAGCATTGTTTTCGTCGAACTCGAATTTCTCCTTGGATCGATTCTTCTTTTTCGGCTCTACATTATCCCTTGAAGAGAGGCTTTTGTAACCCTCAAGACCAGAACCAGAGGATTCAGTGTTTTGGGGCCTCCGAATGGCTGCTCTGAAACCGGATTGATTGGTGTCGTTGCCAAGATTCTCAGGGTGAATATAAGTGTGAAGGCCTTCAAGGAATCTAGTTGGGACCCTAAGCAAGTTGATGAACACTGTGACGCATAGAGAGAGTGCGGCCTGCAGTATAAGATTGTCGTAATGGAGGAAAAAAGATATCATGGTTCTCTCCTCTCAACAATCAGTCAATGACAACTCAGAATCATCCCTACTTTCCTTGATTTGTTCTTGTTCGAACTGATGAAACAGGGGAGTTAGGGTTCCTGCTCTCTGGATTTTAGTTCCAGAAAAAACATATATTCAGATCCGAGCTTTGTGTCTGAGAGACTCAGACCTTAGAGAATAGAGACCTTGAGTCCTTGATGCAAATGACTGACTGACTCACACTTTTGCGCTTTGCGAGAGCCGAGAGAGGAACAACAACCACAAGGTCCACAACCAACTGACCAAGTCCAGCCACTTCAGTTCAGTCACTTCAGCTGTTATCACAAATTCACAACTGAATAGTGAATAGTGTCATTTTTGTAGTTTCTTGCAACAACCGGGAGCTTTTTTGGTATTGCGCCTCTTTTCGAAGATGAGGCGTTGTCCGGCGTTTCAAATCCCTTCCTCCTCCCCACAGCTAAAACCGAGAGACAGAGAGAAAAAGAGAGGGAGGAAGAAGATGGCATCGTCTTCTCCTTTTCATTACCACCCATCCATTCCTTTGCCTTCTTCTTCCAAGCTACCGGCGTCTCTGCAACCAACTGTTTTGAATTTCCCGCGAACTTGGGCCCCGCCGGCGTGGAACTCAGTAACCAGTACCAACCGGTTCAAGTGCTCCGCCGGCCAGACCGGGTTCTTCACCAGGCTTGGACGTCTGATCAAGGAGAAGGCGAAGAGTGATGTCGAGAAGATCTTCTCTGGTTTCTCCAAAACTAGAGACAACCTCGCTGTTATCGACGAACTCCTCACGTACTGGAACCTCGCTGAAACAGATCGAGTCTTGGACGAACTCGAAGAGGTCCTCTTTCTCTCTCTCACCACGATTCTGAACTATTTGTTAGTTTGCAAGCGATTTGGTTTATTAAGTTTTGGGAAACCAATTGAATTCTCCTAGAGACGGTGGTTGATAGCATAGCTCTTACTGCAGGCTTTGCTTGTGTCTGATTTTGGGCCCAAAATTACAATTAAGATTGTGGAAATCTTGCGAGAGGATATATTAGCTGGGAAGCTTAAGTCAGGAAGTGAGATAAAGGTAGTCCGATTTGTAATTAGGAACCATATTTGCATTACAGAAGGAAAACACTTGTTTATCTGTCGTCATGTTAAGTCTTTGGGATGTATTGTTGGTAGGATGCTTTGAAGAAGAGTGTACTTGATTTGCTGACTAGCAAAGGGAATAAGACGGAACTTCAACTGGGGTTCAGGTTTGATCTTCATGGGTTTTCTCGTTTTATTGTGCTAAGCAGCTTATTGTTGTCTTTATCTTTTTTCTCCCATTCACAGGAAACCAGCTGTAATCATGATTGTTGGTGTGAATGGAGGCGGGAAGACAACGTCTCTTGGTAATGTACTAGAAATCAATATGTTTGAGTTATCCATTGGCTTCTATTTCTAAAATTTAAGGTTCTCATCTTTCTTGTCATGGCACTTTAATTGTAATAAATTGATGTTCTTCGAGCAATCCGTTCACTATTATGTTTTGCAGGAAAACTTGCTCACAGACTAAAGAAAGAAGGAACTAAGGTTAGATGCTCTAACTGTGGCAGTGCTTCAGATTCCTGGCTTCTACTAAAATGCAAAAATTGGAAAGTGTCCATTCTAGAGCTCCTGATACAGATTATCATTCTTGTTTCACCTGAATTCAATTACTTAGAAAACTAGCTTATTGAAATGAAAAAAAAAAAATCAGAACTTGATGACACTGGAGACACTGAATCATACAGTCCTGGCATAACACCCCCCAAAAATAAAATAAAATAAAAGAGTAAAGAAGAAACTGAACTATATATAAAACAGAAAATTCCATTGAGACATCCCTTGTTATTTGAAAATTAAATTTTGAAATGCATGTGGTATCATAGTAACTATTCTCTAATCTTTATACTTGACTCATTAATTTTGCATCCACTCTACAAGTAACCAAGTCTATGTTATTTGAGATTGAACTTGGTGATTGGGGAAGTTTGATCGCAATGGAATCTTGTTCCCAAAAAGTAAGAGGGAAACTAACTTAAGCAGTTGTCGATTCAGAGATTTTGGAATGCCTTAATATGATATGCTTACATATATGACTTAAAAACTTGAACTATGATAACAATAAAAATAAATAATCTACTTATCAATAAAATAAAAATAAATAATTTAAGCTATATATAATTCATAAATCACAGACTAGTATATTAATGTGTTTATCATACTAGGAAAAAATGTCTTATGAAAGGCACAGGAGGGGTCCCTTTTTTATTCAGGAAATACCAAATAGATTTGAGAGATGAGAGCATTAAGGTTACCTACTAGAAAGACTAATCTGATGATAATGATGTACCAGAAAATACAACCATTTTTTTTTTATTTTACTAACCTTTAGGGGAAGCAAATACAACAAGTACTAATCAGTAAGAATTGTAAGATGTTGGCATGTTCAGGTTTGAACAATGACCTTTCGCAATTGTACTTTTATATCACATTGCATGTTACTTTGCAATATAATAAGAATGGGGTCTTATATACTTGCTTGAAGATTAAATAAACAATGCCATATCAATATAAGTATGTTGTCAAATATTAATTTAGCTTTTTAATTTTTCTAGATATTAATGGCAGCTGGTGATACTTTTAGAGCAGCAGCTAGTGATCAACTAGAAGTCTGGGCTGAGAGGACTGGATGTGAGATAGTTGTGGGTGAAGGAGAGAAGGCCAAAGCATCCTCAGGTAGGCAGCAAAAGATTATAGGAGTACAATGGGAGTCTTTTAAGAAATGTTTATCCAAGGTCAGTACATCTTTTATAGATTTCCAAAATGTGGTAGTAATAAATAATCTTCATTTTTTTATGGCAGTTCTTTCTCAGGCTGTAAAGAGAGGGAAAAAGCAAGGTTTTGATGTAGTATTATGTGACACATCTGGCCGTACGTATGAAAAACTTAATAGGTAGCAATTTTTTTTTTTTTAATTTCGCTTATCTGATAGGTTTCTTAATGGGATAGTAATTTGTATCATCAGGTCTACACACTAATTACAGCTTGATGGAAGAGTTGATTGCATGCAAGAAAGCTATTGGTAAAATTATTTTTGGTGCACCAAATGTAAGCTCAACTTTCCTGCATCTTTATATACATTCTATCTTAGTCCATTTAATAGGGTCATGGAACCTTTGAGAAATGACATTTAGCTTTAGAAACTAGATATAAACACATGATACTGCACGAATACTTCTAGATTTATGTAAAGTGGTATGTATTAACAAATTATACTACCAAAATATCTGAAATTTTAGAAACTTAATTAAATTTGACAAGACATAAGTCTTGAGAAATGACATTTTGCTTCAAAAACTAGATATGAACACATTATAAGCACATTATATGGAATACCCAAATCCATATCCATGCCCAGAATTTTAGGAAATGGAGAGTCATATCCCATTCCTGTATCTGTGTCTATATCCATATCTATATCTAGGCATCATAGTTCCCAAATCATTTCCAAAAGTTTCTTGAGATAGGCAAAACATAGACTTATAGAATTTCACTTAGATAAAATTACACTATTCATCTATTCCTTGTTTTCCCATACCTAGATATTTGATGATTAATAGTGAGAATCTTATATAAAGTTGCAATCCACATAAAGAATAAGACCTTTGAGGAGTCATGTGCTTCCCAAATCCATTTCCATGGAAATGTATCTTGAGAAGGGCACATCATAGACTTATAGAAGGATTTCACTGAGATAAGACAACATTTTTTCATGGATGACCCAAGAATGATATTACTGTTTTGACAACTTTTCATTCCAGAAGTTATTTGGAAATATGATTGCTGGTTGTTTGTCTTTCTGCAGAACATTTTTTTGAGAGAAGATAACTGAATTCATCAAGTATTCAAAAGGAGGGGGGGATGTACACGAGAGGATGTACAAGCCTTTTAAGCACAACAAAAGCAAAGAGACAGCCCTATAGGAAGGCAGCGTATTGGAGCTATACAAAGAAACCCTTCTCAGCCCAGATTTAGCTAGATTATCAGCCACTTGATTTAATTCTCTAGGAATCCATCTAAAACTGCAGTGTAAATAAGAGGCAAGCTCCCTGATTTCTAACAACAGATGGGATAGCTTCCACGGGTCTACAATCTATCCTGAAGCCCAGTTAATAACATTTCTCAAATCACCTTCTGCTGCAATGCAGCTGAGCTGCTGTAATTTGGTGATTCTGAGGCCTTCCAAGAGGGCCCTTGCCTCTGCATCAGAAGCATCTTCTGCCTTGGCTGGGCCACTATAGGCCCAAACCAAATCTCCATTTGCTCTTCGAATCAGTCCTCCAATTCCAGCCTTTGATCTGTCCTCAGTGGCTCTCCTAAAACTGCCATCGAAGTTTAGAATAAATTCACAGTCTTGTCTTGGGGAGATTTTAATAGGAGGTTGGGAGTGAAAAGGAGAGGTTGATAGTAGAGCAGCCCAGTTACTATGAATGTCTTGTCTTTCTGCAGAACATTATACTATTATATGTGTTGTAATATGTGCCCTGTCTGTTTTTTATTTCTTTATTTTTTTTATTTTTTTCTTAGTAGTAGATTTCCAACCTAACATTTAAATTTATTCTCAAATAACATACTAAGAATATGCATGAATATGCATGGTATAGTTACACTGGATATGAGAGTGGAAGCAGGGAATTGTTTAAGATTGATAACCGAGAGACTTCGTAAAGCGATGAGGAAGAGATTCAAGAGGATGGTGACCCTGGAATCAAAGCTGAGTGAACTAGGTTCAGATGTTCCTTGACTAGCACATACCAAATAAAAGAAATGAACAAATAGTTTTATAAGGCATGTATTAAACTGGTCATGCTTTATTGAATTGGTTTGTCCATGTAAGGGATAATTTTATGTTAGAAAAAGTTTTGGTGGATGAGTGGCAAGAATAGGAGCAATAAAGTTGAATAGAATGTTGTGATGGAATAGTACCTTCATGACAATGTAAAGAAACGTAGTCTAAAATAATTTGTCATTGTTTCCATCAGATGAAGATCGATTACTATCAAAAGAAAAAAAAGATGAAGATTAATTAACATACCACTTGGAAAGAAGCTTTTAGTGCAAGTTGAAGTTTCTAAAGGACAAAGGAAGACCAAATATGTTATTGATGTAATCTGTACTATATGCCACAGAAGGGCATTCTTGTCTTTTCCCTTTCTTTTATTATGTTTTGGCCACCCTACTATTTAAATTAAAAAGCTGGCGCCGCCAGTAATTGATTTTTGGCTCTTTCTTCTACAGTTATGGTTTTAGGTAATGATATAATATTTGACAAACCAGTTTTTGTGAAAAAAAATGTGTATCAGATTGAGTAAAATGGTTTTCTTGTAATCAACTCCCGATAGGTGAAATGAGGTGAATGATGATATGCTTCCTTCTTTCTGGTCCATAAAATTTATATATTTATTTCTGTTTGTTCAAAATTTAATGACCTAAATAATGAGTTCAATTTAGTGCTATTTTCTGTCTTATCCTTGTTTGAGACTGATTCTTCATATTGCTCTTCATGTTGGGAAAAAAATTCTCACACAACTTTCATGTTACCATCTGGATGGAAATTTTCTTTTTCATTCACAAGTCCAAACTGTCATCGTAGTATATGCTAATAATCTTGGATCATCTATAACCATTTTACAAATTTTACAGGAGATTCTGCTAGTCCTTGATGGGACAACTGGTTTGAATATGCTGCCACAAGCGAGAGAATTTAATGATGTAATATTCCCAACCTCAAATGCTATAATATTTCATTCTTCCCCTCAGCATTCTGATACTTAGGCTGCATTTGGGAATAGTACAAATACAAAAATGATCAGTACAAATACAATTGTCTGGTTCAGAAAATGCAAAATTGGTTTAGTTTTGTACTGATAATTTTGTATTCTTGCCAAATGAGTTTTAGGTGTGATAGGTACAAACACAAATCCTGAGACTGGAATCCGCCTTTTTTACAATGAACAACTTGAGTGCAAAAGTTCGCATCCAGTTTTTGGATGCAAACATTTGCTCTCACTTGATGCATACATGTCTTGGAATCCGTGCTTGCTGTCAGTATCATTACACAAATACATTCTTACCGAACATCTGCAAAACTGAACCTGAATGCATATGCATTGAACAGGCATTTCCACTCTTCCCAAACGCAGACTAAACTATTCAATTCTCATTTGATTATTTGTTCTTCATTCCTGTGATTTTTGTTTGTACTAATGCTATGCTTGTCATTTTAATAAGTTGTTACCATTGACTACCTTCTTTAATTCAACATTTAGATAAAATACTATTCATCCATGTAATTTAAGTTTGTACCAATGTCACTTGCCAATTTATAAGATCATTTTTCTGTGCCTTTTTCTCTTTCATTGAGGGATCTTTATAGTCTCTGACTCTCTCCGAAATCAGGAAGTACAAATGCACTGCCATATGATCCAATTTTTTATTTAAATCAGCTCCTCTGTTGTGATTTGTTATGCCACTTGGGTAAAAACAGTCGAAGTGCTGCAGACCAAACTATTTGCTTACCTTTTGATGTTAGCTACCGAGTAGAACTTTTCTGTTTAATGATTTCGGCACATCCTTTTTTTATAAAAGAACCCCCTAATCATTGATGAAAATATATACTTTAAAAGACAAAAAAAAAGACTCCCATGTTTTGACTAACATTACTGACAGTGGTTTCTTTGTCTTTTCACTAGGTATGTGCCCAAATCACTCCTTATTTCTTTAAGAAACAAGTTTACAATTATAAATAACTAAATAAGGTTCTGCTTTATTTCTTCTACTAATTGAGATGGATGAGTGGTAAAATGATAAAGGATAGGATCAGAACTAAGCACATTCGTGGGGATTTAGGAGCAGCACCAAAAGTGAGAAAATGAAGGAAAATAGGATAAGATGGTTTGGGAAATGCATGGAATACCAATCAATGCACTGGTAAGAAAAATTGTTTGAGGACTTGCAATTTAACCATGAATATGACCCTAGACAAAGTGGAATTGTCAAAACAGATTTCATGCAGTCAACTTCATACAGTTGGGGTTGTTTGTTGAGAAGTTTTGAGCTACTTATTCAACCTGGATATGTTGCTTTATATTTTAATTCCAACTATAAATGAGATCTGAACTCATTCTCATCTGCCACCATTTTGCATTTTCAGCTTTTTAACAAGCTCGGAAGGTTTCCAACAAGCATACTGATTTTTTAATATAACTTTGCGCATATATTGGTGCTATGCCGTGAACTAAATGGTTTAAAAATTCTACCGCAGGTGGTTGGCATCACAGGATTAATCTTGACCAAACTTGATGGTTCTGCACGAGGTGGCTGTGTGGTAATGGTTAAATTTTTTTAGGGATGTAGCCATTGTACTCTTTCAAAACACCTTTAGAGTTGTAAGAATTCTGATTTTGAATGATCTTAAAACTAATGGCATCGCATAACATAACAAAAGCTATTTAAACTCGTGATAATGTAAGAGTAATTTCTATTTTCAGGTCAGTGTTGTAGATGAACTTGGCATTCCTGTGAAGTTTGTTGGTGTTGGTGAAGGGTTGGAAGATCTCCAACCATTTGATGCTGAGGCCTTCGTTAATGCCATTTTTTCTTGAGGCGTGAGTAGTAAGTATTATCATCAACATCTTGGTGGATTCAGTTTGAATTAGATTTCAGTGACATTGGATCTGCCTCACTTCAATTTTCTGTGGCTTGCTTTCAAAATTTCTTCTGTTTTCTGGTCTCCATCTTAGTGCCTCTCTCTACTAGAGTGGGTCTGAGATTTAACAAAGACAAAGGTGCTCAATTATGATTGTGTTTCCTCCTCTTTAAGGTGGCCTACTAGTTTACAACCCAAGGGTGATTGGAGAATGGAGTGAAAGAGACAATGACGAAGTAGATATAGAATTACGTCGCTGGCATCTGAGAATTCAAGTGATTCAAAACTGTTGGGATTGATTTTACTTCCACACTAGTGAAATGGTTTCAGATTGCATGATCTGTGTTGGTGAAAACGAGAAACTCCATGATATGGTCAGCATGCTTTACACCTAGCAACTTGGGAATACAAGAACAGGTAGCTGAAGCTGAACTTCAGTGATCCATACGCACATGGAACTTCAGAAGAGATTGGTAGAAGTTGCAAAGTGTTTGTCATTTGTTGCTTGCTAGTTGGTATTCCTGTATTTAACCATCTTCTTATATGAGTTATTGGGTTGAGTCATCTTGTCACTAGCAGGATGATAATTTATTTACCAGTTTTTTTTTGAGATATACGAGTTTTTGAAGTAAACGGCGCCTTCTTACAGTTTCTATTAATGCCCATCACAATGAATGAAACTCATGACAGGAAAGCCGAAACCCCATTTCTCTTTCTTCCCTACTCCCTACTCAAGACAAGAAAATATTTATTCCATACCAGTTTCTCAGGTGAAGATGAGGCTGATAATGGCGAGATTATTCCTTTATTGGACGACAAATGTACCAGTATATACCATATACATATGGTGAGAGCTACTGTTCACTATTCGAGATTGGTATGACGGGATCGGACTGCCTCTGGGGGCTGACCCAGAACCTCCGCCAACCTGAACACCACCATCTCGAACAACACAAACATGGCTCCTTCGTAGAGGCTCCCCATCGGAAGTAAAGGCCGAGATCCCATGGTGCCGGAAGGACGGTTATGGTCATTATGATCGTCTGCCATGGTCTGCGCGGGAAGAAAAGCAATCGTGGTGGCATGTCGAACGGCCGACCCTGACTCCGGCTGGGCGGTGAGGAGCAGGACACGAGCACCATTGGACCGAGCAACCCCGCAGATGGCGTCGACGGTGGGGAACCCACCAGGGCCAGCAGAGGCGACGAGAAGGTCGGGAGAAGAGATGGGAGGTGTGGTCATGTCGCCGACGCAGTGGGCCCAGAGACCGAGGTGGGACAAGCGCATGCAAAGGGCCTTGAGCATCAGACCTTCGCGACCGACGCCATGCACGAACACGCGTCCACTTCGGGCGGCCGCCCCTGCGATCTCTTCCACCGCCACCTCTAGTGCCGAAGTTGTATTGCTGGCCCGGGAGAAGACGCTGCTTATCTGATCACATATCTGCGACGCCAATGATTGCATTGAATTGTTGACGTCCGCCATTGCTGCTTAAAACTCTTAAGCAGAGCTGCACACTTGCAGCCCTAAGTCGAGAGTGAACTACAACTATTTACTGGGTTGGCTTCTGCGGAGGAGCTCCTTTACCCTTGTAATCCACTCGCCGCGACAGCCATAAACGTCACAGTCAGTTCGACACGATGTAAGATGGGAGTAATGAAAATCCTACTAGGCTACTACGAACTAGAAAGGTATGGTACCTGATGACATATTAAGGAAAAATCTACATATTAATAGCCACCACCACTAACCAATCAACTTGTGTTTTTTCATTCAAGCTCACCCATCGCATCGGCTCATCGCTTAAACTCTTTTAGGTATCGAGGGCGGTGCTATATGGTATCATAGAAATTGCCATGTTATTCAATGTTTGACCACGATCTCTCATGGATCAACGTGTCGATTCACAATTGACGATGCTTTTGATAAACAAATAAGGATTGCTAACAACTGATATAGTACTAACAAATTAATAACTAATCAACATTTTATTGAAGGGTAAATTATACACGGACCCGTAATATGGGTCAGTGACAAAGACCCCCTGCACTTATTTTTCGCAATAAAAACCCTTTGAACTTTGGCCGTTTGACAAAGACCCCCTTGTGTTATCATTCTTCAATTAACTTTGAAAAAGATTTTAATTCTTTTCTAATTTATTTTATCAAGCTTTTCTAAACATCAGATGCTCCGCAATTTACATCGTAGCAGTATCTTACGGTGCTATGAGCTTAGTTGCAAGTTCGCCGGAGACAAGAAATACATCACCGTACTTGATCGGCTCCTATTTACTGTGATGCCCTTGTTCTTGAAATTACAAATCTAAATCACCTTGATTCCTCTGTGACTGCATTTCTTGGTGTTTGTGGGGTCTTTGAGGCTGTTCATGGATCATATCTGATTATTTGGTTGAAATTCAGGTTGATGGGTAAGCCCTAAAAGGCACTGTTACAATTTATTGATAAAACTCAGTAACAAATTTCGATGGTATAGTTGGGAGTGTAGATTTGATGCTTTTAAGGTGGAGGAAGGTGAAGGACGTCTAGCTGTTAACATCTTGATTTCTGGAATTGGTTTCGGAAAAGAAGATTTTATAAGGCCTTGGGAGGGACTAGAGGACAACTTGGAGAGGTATGTGCTACAATGGGAGTCTAAGAATCTGATTGTAGTGGGTAATGTTGCATATATGAAGATAAATTAACGTTTCTTAATTATTAGCATATATCAAACTATCAATTGTTGCGGAGCTCATCACTTATGTAAGCAATAATGATGCAGGAATTAACCCAACTAGGCTATCGGAGAGAATTACAGTCCTTCGGGTAGCAACCGGAGCAACTCATGCACAGTTTGATAAGTCGGGCAACTATCAGCTCTACCTGTTAGGATTAAGAGTCCATTCATGTATATATCCTCTTTGTGTATATCTTCTTTCCTTCTTTCCTTATCATGAATTGTTCAGATATGATAGGAAAGATTGAGTCCCTGTAAGCTTAGGAGTTCTAGTTGCCATAAGCTTAGGAGTTCGGTGGCTGTGTGGCTGTGCATTCATATATATATTTGATGTTTCAATGAATAATACACAAGAAAAACAAATCAGAAAAGCATTAGTTTTACATGGTATCAGAGCCTCGAAACGAAAGCAAGAGGCCTGTGTTCCAAGACCTCTGGAGATCAGCGGCGGTGATCTATTACCAGCAGTGCGAACACTGAGAGGCGGAAGTAGTTCCAGCGGCGGCGATCTATTACCAGCAATGCGAACACTGAGAGGCAGGAATCGTTCCAGCAGCGGCGATCCATTACCAGCGGTCATCTTTCGTTATAGCGGCGGCAATCTCTTACTAGCGGCGGCGATCTATTACCAGCAGTCATCTTTCGCTCCAAGCAAAAGCTTCAGAAGCGGTTGGTTGCGGATGACT